GTTTATTTATTTATTTATTTATTCTCCCAAACTATTGATTGATTGATTGACCATCAAAATCATAAGGTTTCTGAAGTGACCAGTGTGCTGTTACTGACAATTCTGTAACAATAAAGTGTTAGGAAAAAAGGATTGCTGCTGCTCTTCAGTATGTATGTTTGTATTTACCAGAAATTTGATGCACTTCAAATTAGTTATAAAAAGAGAGTAGTTCTTTTGGTTTGATGTGGTGAGCGTGTTTATGTCACAGTTGAAACCTACAGTGGGGCATCGGTGTAATTTGGAGATATTTCTTGTTTTTCTTCTGCCAGTGTTTTCAAATTCTTTGCAGGTACTAAATCAAACTTTGTTCCTACAACAATGAAGTGTTTTAATTTGTTCATGAAGGTTAAGAAAAAGCTTAAATAGAAATATATGAACATCAGGTCAATAGTGACCAAACCAAGTAATATAATGTTGAAGATTTTGATCTGATAACTTTTCAGGTTCAGGATGTTTTGGAGCCAACACAGGTTGCCGTGCAACCAGACCAACAGATCATTCAGATTCACCTTGACCCCCAGTGACCTTGACCCTCTGTGAACTTGAACCTCAGTGACCTTGACAGTCAGTGACCATAAGGGTGACTGATAGTCTGGTTTCATTGATGTTCTAGTGAGGATCATTTCATGGTAATGGACTGATATGAGAGGAAGAATCCGAATGTGAATGCGTTTTTTAGAAGATTTTGCCCACCTGGAAAAAAAGTAAAAGCAGTTCAATTTAGAACTTATGTGAATGCAGTTTTTGGGAGTTGGTCAGATAAGGTTAATGGTGAACTACCCAGGCCTCAGTCCTGCAGGATTACATTGAGGTACCCCTCCCTGACTGACTGAGGGTTTGGTGGTCATGGATAAAATTTTCATAATAATGAAGACTGCTCCTTGTTGTTGTTGTTGTTATTGAGAATTTGTAAATAGAATTGAATTTTTAGGGGGGGAAAGTGTTGGAAATGTTTGTGTACATATTTCTACATTTGATGTGTGATTTGTAGTGAGATGAATTTCAGACGTTTTTTTTTTCCAAGTTGTTGGAAGAATTTTTAAAAGAGTTTTGTCTGCTTTACATCAATTGATCTATTATCTGTAAATATATGTGGTTGCAGTTAGATTAGTGATTTGGCACTTTTGCATGGTAAATATATTGAAACAAAAAGTTTGCCATATTGAAAAAGGGGCATAGTTAGACCCCATTCCCATAGATTTTAGATCGATCTATCCCTGTGGGGAGTCTCACTAGATTACTGTCAGCTTAGCCAGATTAAGCGTCTGTCCCGCCTACTACAAGCTGTAAGGGGGTAATTAACTATGGTGCCCGCTAGGCTGACTGCAATTTAGTGTGAACCCCCAGGGAGTTGGGTCGATCTAAAACTAAATCTCTGGATCGATCTAAATCTATGGGAATGCACCCTTAGACAACACTTTCATTTCACTTTTATTTTTTCTATTTACTGTAATGATGATAAACAGCAATGGTATTAGCTTATTAATAATAAGAATACCACAGTCATTTACTTTTCTTTTTTTGTGAAAAGTTGTTTTTAGTTACCATTGGGTTCTTTCATTGAACCCAAATTACTCATCAGACTTCAGTCATATGCCTCACAGATGATGAACAAAACCGTTTTGAAAAATGTATATATAAATTCTTTACCTTTGTTCTGATTTAATGAACAATTTGTATTACATTTAAAAAAAAAGATGAAAACTTGTATATTATTATAGTTTGCATAGGTTTAACATATTTGGTAATGAGTACATTAGGAAGATTTAAAGAGACATTTAGACTGAAGACATAATTCATTCAAATTTTTGTTTTTATTAGATCTTTATATAAGCTTTTATTTTCACTAAATATGTCTCAGTACTTTTTTAAAAGAAGTTATATTGGGTTCCCAGATCTTATGCTACTACATATTGAGTCAGTATAACATGATGAGTTGAAATGAGTTCTGTTTCATCTCTTGTGTGTTAATGATAAAATAGATCTGTAATATAATTAAGTGGCTTATCTTAGCGTGTGACCTGATCACGCAAGAAATTGCAGGAAATTGTAGTTAGTCTTGTACAGAAGTGTTATATTGACTTAATAAAGTTATGTACACATCTAAAAGGATTTTTTATTTAAACAGTAATTGCCGACTTAGAGCGCATTCCCAGAGATTTTAGATCGATCTATCCCCGTGGGGAATCTCACTAGATTACTGTCAGATAATCCTGCTTAAATGTCTGTCTCGCCTACTACAAGCTGTAAAGGGGTAATTAACTTTCGTGCCCGCTTGACTAACAGCTATTTAGCGTGAACCCCCAGGGAGTTAGGTGGATCTAGTTGGATCGATCTAATCTCTGGGAATGGGGTCTTAGATCTTAGTCCACATATATCTCACTTATCCTGACCCGTATGACTTTCATGGAGGGTGGACCCTCTCTTTTATACCACTGTTGTTTTATAAATTCACATTTCAAGTTTTTTTTTTATCTCTTTACTGAAATGGACACTTGGAACTTGTCTTTCCTCCCCCCCGACCAGCACAGATTGCAGTTGTTGAGATGTATGAAACCTTGAGTTCAAGTCCGTGACTTCTCAACCACTGTGTCCATTGCGTTAGTTGAGACTGTTGATTGTGTTCACTGCCATCCTAAAGAGTCTAGTGCTTCACACCTTATACGGTTTATCAGAAGAGATTTTCACCTGTACCAGAGGAGAGAACACGTAGAAAATTCAGTGAGTAAAATTCTCTAAGAACGGGATTTAAGGACATTTAATGTAATACAAATACCACACTGTTGTCTCTGACCGAATAGAAGTATATTTTTTTCTTTCTTTAAATATATAGTGAAATATTTCGTATACCCCACTTAACACTTGTCACATTGTGTCTGCCTTACTTCCTCACATCCATATTCCCTGTGAGACTAGAGAGGGCGATATTTATCAGTATTTTGATGTTCACAGGGGTGGCATGGAGGTTATAAAATTTTCGGTATGACGGATGAGAGCAGTTGTCCTCCTCATGAACTTCAGGGTGATCGTAGCTGATTCAACGGTTTGATCTGCAGGGTGACAGCTGATGGGTCATTTGCCTTGAACCCACCATGATGGGCATAAGGTTGCCTTAACTACTATTAGCTCTGAAACTTTCAGGGTTTTTTTTTTTTTTTTTTTTTTGGGGGGGGGGGGGGGGG